TAAACTGGTTGTTTTTTTTATATCTTACCAATTTTTTTTCTCCATACAGGAGAGAAACAGGCTGCCACTCATGTCAGCCTCGACCAGGAATTTGATCGGGATTTGTCGCAACAGTGGAAGGAGCTTGAGGAACAAGTTGTATCTATTGTCAACAGAGGAACAGTCCCTGTCAACTTTCAACCTACTCAGTATTGTCTGAACAGCCAGACGGACAATTTACGGTTTCCACTGGCCGTTGTAGAAGGTAATAGTTATAATTATTATTATTCAGAAATTATTTGTGCGTCATTTCATGCCACTGGTGAGTAATTTGCAAAACAGTGAAACCATGCACACAGACGAATTTTTCTGGGAAGGATTCACAGGAATGTTTTCCTCATCTATGGAATCCATTCATCCGTTTCCTTAACGCTTCCTGCAGGGTCGCAGAGGAGCCAGGGTATATCCCAGCAATAAACATGCATAAGGCAGGATACATCTGGACCAGACTCCAGTCCATTGCAGGACAGACAGACCCATCCACATGCACATGCTCACACCTATGGCTAATGTCCCCAGAAACGATTTAACCTACCAGTTTGTCTTTCATTCAAACGATGTGAAGGACACACATTGGAACACCCACAGGAAACCCACACGAACGTGGGAGAACATGCAAGCTTGGGGGCCTCAGGGCTGCAGTGCGGCAATTTTAACCACAGTGCCTCCTTGCCAAACTCTAATATTGAATAAATAAGTTAATTATTATGGGAAAACATTCCCTTCACTAGTGATAAAAAAGTATAACAATGATCAAAGCTATCACTGAGCTGTTCATTTTCACAATCGCATTATTTTCATTTTGTCCAGTTTGGAGGTCAAACAGTACAGAAGATTACAAAGGAAAAAATCAAAATGAGTTGTTTTACACAATTCTTTATTCTATTGCTATTCTTGACACTAGTATAGAAAAGCTATTCTTTATTTCCTGTTCTGTGAATAAAAGTGCACCTTCCTCTCAATGAAAGTCAATTACCATCTTTCCCAAATGCCCTTGCTGCTTTGTGTTGTAATCGTTTTTTATTGTATATGTACAGACCCTCACAAAGAGCAAGTATTTAGCAAACTCCTGGTTTCATTTTTATAAAGCCTTATTTTTTTGCTTTCCATGTTTCTTCAAACAACATTCTTGACTTACACGAGAGAATGCTGTTGCTTTGGCAACACTGATTGTACCTATCAGTCATGCTAATAAAGCACCTTGAATTGAATTGAATAAAAGATAAAAACCTGAATTGAATTGAATAAAAACACACTCAATTGGTCTTTGTGCACTTTTGTTTTTTTGTTTTTGTTTTCAAACACTGGGATTTATTAAAACATTTAACTTCATCAGTTCAGAAAGTGACAATCTTTTATCTGGCTCTATCAGCTCATACTGTTAAAGGACAATTTCTCTACAGGAGCAAAAGTACTGTAGGGTGTTGAAAAGCTTTGATTTAAACTTTCAGATTGTTCTGAGTAACATAAACAGCCTATTTTGAAAAAGGGTAAAAAACAAGACAAATGATTTATGCTAACAATTTACCCTCTGTATTCTGTGAAAGGTCTTATATCAGGTTTCTGATCTTTTGCTGGTGTTTTGTTTTCCATTTTTCTCTATTTTCTTTTGAAGATGCCTATTTAAAACATTAACATGATTTGGTTTCCTTTAGAGCCAATGATTGTTGAGGTGGTCTTCAGAAACCCCTTGAAGGTTCCCCTTGTCCTCACTGACCTTTCGCTGCTGTGGAAATTCCACCCTAAAGACTTCTGTCGGCCTCAGAATGGGGAGGCTGTCGAGGCAGTAACTAACGAGAAGGATGCACATATGAAGGTAAATCCCTGTAAAAAGCAAAATATCTGTGTGCTGCTCAAGTTATGAAGACTGCTTAGTCCAATTTATTGTAAAATGTACAACTACAGAAGTGAATGCTGCCCCTGTTTCAATAATCCTGTAGTTCAACAGCATTCATGATCTTTGCTTTGCCTGTACCCTTTCTGAGCATATTTTATGTCCTATCACCAATGTAAATTGTGTTCACTGCATAAGTTCTTATGAAGCTTCGTTTGTGTCTAAAGAGTACATTGGAAAGAGTGGAGGAACATAAGCTAGTTAATGTGTGGAGGCCAATAAACTCATCTTCTTTTAATAGTTTAGTAAACCCAGATTGTGGGTTTCAACTGTTTAATGGGGAAGCAGTTTGATAACCAACTCTTTTTACTTTTTTATAAAAAGGACATTTTGATATCTCCAAGAGTCAGATCACTACGCATCAGAAAGTCATTGCCTCATTGTTCATAGAGGTCAGATTAATGGTATAAAGACATTTGTATATTGGCGTAAACTGTACTGATGTCTTAGTTCTCACTTTTCTATTTCTTTACATGTTAATTTAATTGATCTACACCTAAAGGTGATAACCTATTTATGTAACAAATACTTTTAAAACGGCATAAACTGGAGAATGTTCTGCAAATGTATGATGAACAACTCATTTTGATTTGTACTACACATTGTATTAGGGTTAAAATAAGTTTTTTATTTTACGTTTGACGCCTTCAGATTTTAGTTAAAGCAGTTGAAGCTGTAATCAAGCATTAGGTACAAACAGACATTTCCACTTTAGTGTTTGAATGCAGGACTGATTTTCTTGAGTTGTTTTACTTGTGTAATGATGTCTGACATTGCATCTGTACGGTTCTAGCAAATTAGTTTGTAAGACACAAAGAATGTTTGGCAATCTGCATTGATTAATGAGTTTTCTGCAGTGTTTGTATTTCTTTGTTCAGCATTTCTTAGATTGTGGTGCAAGTTGAATTAATGAAAATGTATCCTATTAACATAAGGCTATATGAAAGGTTATGAGTGAAAGTAGCCATTTCTGACCAACTTAGTTGATTTTTGAAGAATTTCGAGGAATCCAGTAAGATCAATAATTCTTTTTTTTAGACTGATGTCAGCACAAGCAGTGAAGTTCATGTCATTTAGTGGCCAAAATTAATCATGCATCCAAATGTGTTTCTTGAAGTGACATTATTACAATTATGATACATGATTACAAAAATATAATAACTCATTAATATGCCCCTTGCTGGAAATTTTATTTTACCGTGTATACAAAGGAATTATTGGCCTTAATTATCATTTCTTCACATTTTCTAGTGAGGGACACAATTAGACAAAATACACTAAAATTGGTATAGTTCATAAATGTAATCAAAAGTTTACTTTGGTAAAAGATAAAATGACTTTTCTGTGACAGGCATTTCAAACCAGTTCACCAGAATGAAAGCTGCAAAACATTGGACTCCTTTGTATAAAATGAAAAGAACTACTTTGTATTACCTGTCGGTTGTCTGAAAGGTAGCTATTCAGATAATACAACAGTTAACTACATGAAAATTGCCTGCTTTTAAAAATAAAACTGCAAAAACAAAAAAACTTCTGTGAGGCTGAGCCTGAGTTTCAGTTGTTAAATCCCCATGTTTGCCAAAGTGTAGTTTTAAACCTTCAGGTTTAAGGTAACAGATGTCCGTATGCATGCATGAATTCCTTTTTGTGTCCAAAGCAATTGGAAGTATTCAAGGATTTTCAGTGTAAAATTAATCATTGCTTTATGCACTAGATGACAAAGTTTATCTTATTGTGTTGACTATTTTTTCAGTGTTTAATAGCCAACTCACCATATTTTAGAGAAGCAGATTGCTTCGGTTATCATTTCCAAATAGTAGGGACCAATTATTAATTTGTATTTTCATTTTTTTAAAAAAAAGCTGTCTCGACACTTTTAAAATGAATTTCTAGCACATACTGTGCTACTATGATTATATATGAAGACCACAAATTATGAAGTTTGTTCCTAATGGTCAGACATGATGTTTTTTTATTGTGCACAATTATTGCATAAAAGGTTTTTATTTGTTGTTTTTATTTTTTGGATTTGTTGGATAAAATGTTTTTCATGAGGAATCAGCCAATTTTGCGATAACTGGAAACGTAACTTGAGTATTCAAGATATTAATCAGTCCAGGATGCACTTTTTTATTTTTAAATTAAACTGGAGATTTCCAAAAGCCTAAATACTTTGTATAGTTTCTCCTCT